TTCCCTTCTCCAGGGGCTCTTTCTGATCCAGGGATCGGACTGGGGTCTCCCACATCACAGGCAGATTCTTTACCATTGGAACTTTCTCCAGGCAAGAATACTGGAGTAGGTACCCATTCCCTTCTCCAGGAGGGAGACCTGAAGGATTGAACCCCGACCCAAGGATTGAACCCCGGTCTCCTGCATTGCAGGAGGATTCTTAAGTGTCTGTTGTATACACATACCAAATAGGGTTAGCTAGTTACTAAGAGCCTGGGCTGGGGAAGCGGTTGTTCTACATACTTAACACCTATTAACTCAAGGAATCAACCTTTGCCCATTTTATAGACGCAGAAATGGAATCAGAGGCAGGTTAAATAACTTGTCCAAGGACAGCACAGCTGGTAAAAGGCAGAGTTCAAGCCCAGGTTGTTGGCAGACTTGCTTCTCAACTACACACTGCTTTATTTTCTAGGCAGGGACTAACCTCCCACCCAATTCAGAATTAGATGCAGATACCACCTTCTAGAGACAGATAAGACCCTCGGGTGTGGGATGCTCAGGTGGGAGGTCAGGAGCACTGGATTGAGCCCCAGGGTCTAACCCTGTCCACACACCCCCCAACCGGGCCTCAGGAGACCCCAAGCCCATCCTGCAGTGCCCTCACCTGTGGGGTGGGACGGCAGCCCCGCCCGCCTGGGTCACTGCCCCCTGCAGGGAGGTCAGGATGGCCAGTAAAGGGGTGGGGTGGGGCCCGGGCAGTTCCTGAGCAGGCGTGGAAGGATGCGGAGGGACAGCCCCAGCTGCTGGCCTAGTGCTCAGGGCCACACCGAGGCTCTGGGGTGGGCCTGGACTGCCTCTTCTGGACTCTCAGATCCCAATCATGCCCTCTGAAACCCGCCTGTGCACGATTCCTTGGCTTCCTGGACAGTGGTTACACAGGTTTGGGGAGAGAAAAATTCACCAGTGAGGTCGGTACCCGCCTGTCACAGACCCGTTCAGAACCAGTATAGTTTAGTCACAGTCAACCTGGGGGCACCCTGGGGGGTGATGGACATCCGAATCCTTTTCTTCAACTGCCAGCCTCAGGGAAGGGGACTCACACAACCTCAAGTCTAGAATGGGACCTAAAGGGATAATACTCTCTGACGAATGTTTTTAGAAAGTGTGTGGCGGGGCGAGGTGTCCTAGAGGCAGGGGAATGAGAACATAAGGACCACTCTAAAAACAAGAGGAAGAGCAAATAAAACACTGCCAGGTTCTAGAAAGAACCCTGAGTTACACTGGTGCTTGGCAGGGCTGCACATGCTCTCTGGGCCTTTGTTCTGGGTTCTTCCAGGGCCTAAACAAGGAGCACAGCCCGTGGCAGAGGGGTGGAGAGCCAGAATGGCTGCCCCTCCCCGGGGCCTGGGCTGGCTCCTCTTCAGGTTAGACTTGCTTCCTCTGTGGCGTGAGGCTGGCAGACGCCGGGAGGTCCTGGTGGAAGGCCCGCAGTGGACTCTTCACCCTCTCAGAGGCTGGAGGCTCCATCGCTGGGGGCAGGGCACAGGCTCTACTCCGACCCGAGTAGAAGATGAGGGCCCAGATGAGCTGAGCCTGCACCTGCCACCTAGTCCCACCTGGGTGAGGACCTGGGGCCCGGCTCAGGAAGGAACTGCAAACTCAGGGCAGCCAGAGACCCCCATCCTGCCCAGTGCTCCAGGGACCTGGGCACAGGTGGGCCTGCCTACAGGTTAGTGTTCAAGGCAGCCAGGACAGGTTGGGGGCAGGGGGCATATTCCCAAGACCCCAAACAGATTAATCCCCAAAGGTCCAAGGCCATGTTACCCAAGTTAAATCTCTTTAATATCCCAATACAAAGTCCTGATGCAAAAAGACAATGAGAAAACCCTGGGAAGTTGGGGGGTTTCTGTAAATTCCACCCCCCGAGCAGCTTTTCAGAGGCAGGGGGGACAGAGCAGCTCAGGGAAGCAGCAGTCCCAGGTGAGGCAGGAGTGCTCGGCTCCGGGGCCCGGCCCCGCGTCCCCTCACTCCTGGCTGCTCCTCGACCCTTTCAGGAGCGGCCACATCCTGGGATGTCTGCTCCTTTCTCTTGGTCCCTGGGATTCAACTAGCTCTGGCTTCAATCCCCTACAAAAATTCCTGAGTTCTCGGGGCCTCCTGCCAGCTCCTCCCCTGAAGTACCCCTTGACAGGGAGGGGCTGGGAAGCCCATGAGAGTTCATAGGAGTGTGTACGGAGCATGGGTCAGGAGCACAGGGGAGCCTCTGAGTCCCCAGCCCGCTCCAAAAGCACACAGAGGGGAAGGCTGCCGTAGAGCTTAGGGTCCGTGAGGGGCTGGAGCAGAAGCAGGAAGAGTCCCACACCCAGGGCATAGCCTGCCAGCAGGGGCCGCCTCTGCGGATGCTCCAGGGCTGCGCACACGGCAGGAAAGCCCATGTAATTGCAGAAGGAGTGGCAGAGAACCGGCCCAATCAGGTGTCCTGGGGAGGGGAGACAGAGAAGCTCATGGAGCAGCCCCACTACCTCCCCAGGCCCTTCTAGGGCTAAGACCCTCATCCCCCAAAACAGGAGATCAATGGCCACCCATCCACCCTCACACACAGCCTCTGCTTCCTTCCACCTCTCAAACTGCACCAGGCAAAGGACCCTGGCTCAGCCTGTCTCAAGGACTGTGGGAGAAGAAACTTGTTGCTCCTAGAACAAACACAGATTCCCATTTCCCCACCCACTCCTGTGGGCCCTTGAGCCCCAGGGGACCCGTGAGAGACTGAGGACCAACCTGTGCGGATGAAGAGGAAAGCAGTGTAGGCACCGAAGACAGCTGTGTAGGAGAACTGGAACGCTGGAGACGGGGAGGCCTCGAGTGACCACACCTGCATGCCCTTCCTGCCCCAGCACTGCACACCCATCAGCCAGAGACACCCCCTTCCCCTGGCTGCCCCAGCACCTAGGCTATTCTTTACACCCCAAGCCCGTGGTCAGCAGCCCCTCCAATACTAGAGCCCTCACTTCCCAACTCTTCCTCCAGAGTAACTATCAAGGACACCCTCACGCACCCAACCCAGGACTGCCTCAGGCCAGCTCTTTAGGACTCACCTGCAGACAGAAAGATGCTCCCCACACTGCTCTGGCGGAAACGAAGCTGCTCAAAAATGTGGTGAAAATGGGCTGAGAGGAAGATGAGAACCAGGTCACATTCCTCCCAGCCTGTGGGATAGGCCCTCCCCTGGCCCCCATTTCCCATTCTTGGTTCTCTGCTAGGAACATCTCAACAGGACCAGGCAGGACAAACTCACCAACTCCAAAGAAGAGTGGGCAGGTGAACACAGCAGGGCCCAGGCCCGTGCACGGCGCTAACATGGGCAGCATGCAGGCCCGGAACACCAGCTCCTCTGTCAGGGGGGCGATCACTTGGTTTCGCAGCCAACGCATGTCTGTGAGGCAGCGGGCCCAGGAGCGAGGAGCTAGGGAGGGGATTCAAGACAAGCCATGAAGACTAGCTGTTGAACAAAGGGACCCAGAGGCCTCAAGGGCCCCTCTCCCACAACCTCCCCTGGCCATAAATACTTGGGAGAATAGGTTAAGAGTCAAGCTTTATCAGACCTTGTATAAAACAGTATCTCAAGGGGACTAAAAGGGAAAAGCAATAGTAGCCGAGGCAAAGTATCCTGACAGTAAATTCTGGAAACATCAAAATTTGCCCAGGACCAGCTCTCTTTTAGGAAACCAAGGTCAAGGGAAGCAACGGACAAGCTTTCTTATCCACCCCAAGTACTACTAAGGGTACCTACAGACTTCACTGGACATTAAGAACTAGCTCCTAGAGGCCACCCGATGTGTTCCCATTTTGCTGCTGAGAAACAGAACATCTCAGGTCCCACCATAGCGCACTGATCCCTTCTCCTCATTATCCTGAATGGCCTACTTTTTCCCTTGGCCCTGAGGACTCACCTAGCACAACCTTCAGGCCATCTGCCAGGTCACAGGGGCAATCCATGGAAAGCTGCATCAGTGGGCCCAAGAAAAGGATCTGAGGACAGAAAAACAAGAGCAATCAAAGGAAAGGCTCATAATCCACTGCCCTTGCACGGCCCCAGGAGATTTCGAGCTTCCTGTTTTCTGCCAGGATTGCCCACCTACGCATACCCGAGGGCCTTGGGCCATCTCACAACTGTCTCTCATCAATCAACAGCTAGGCACAATCAGGATTAGGAAAAAAAAGGAGGGTCTCACTAACAACGAAGAGCAGAGAAGGCAAGATACAGCAGGGGCACTCACCATGGTCAGCAGCAGGGGCAGCAGCGCTGCTGGGAAAATGCCCTCCAGCCTGAATCCCATCAGGGTGAGCAGGGATGTGCCTGGCTGAGCCACAGGAAAGGGGGCATCAGTCTCTCTCCGTTACCTAGGGAGTCCAGAGATCGCTCGCCCGCCGCCCTCTGCCCCGCCTCCTTCGCACCTGGATGCCTGTAAGTTCCCTCCAGAGTAGCACGCAGAGGGGCGAGAGACTTGACACCACCAGAACACTGGTGAAGCGCCGCTTTATGACTGCGGGATGGTCCCTAAGGAGGAGGCAGTAAGTTCAGGGGGCCCACGGCCACCCCTGAGGGCGCGGCCCCGCCCTCCGTTCGCCAAGTCCCGCCCACAGCTCCGCCCCGCGGAGGCGCGGGTTCCGTCCGCGCGCGCAGCCCCCGCACCTGGGCAGCTCGCTCTTCCAGACGTAGAGGCTGCCCACGTAGGAGCAGGCGAGGCTGAGACAAGAGAAGACAGACACCCAGCAGCACAGCCCGGGGCCTGGACCGCCCAGAGCCGCCGACTCGGGCTGCCGCTCTGGCCGCGACACCGACAGCAGGCGAAGCCCATCCCCGCCCAGCGCCGCCATCGCGCCCGGACCCGCGGCGCGCCCCAGTGACGCGATCCCGCTGCCGCCCGGCCCGCGCCTGCCGGAAGCGTGGCTGACGTCATCCGACGGCGCGGCCCTCGGCCCCGCCCTCGACTCCGCCCCGACACTGAAGCAGAAGCTGCGCGCGCGGAGCAGGTTTATTGAAAAACAGAGAACCCGCGACCCCGGTGGCGGCTGGGTGGGCGTGGAAGCGCGGGGAAGGGGGCCAGGTTCAGGGCCCAGGCCCAGAACTCAGCCACTCGGACAGATTGGAAATTTCCTGCAGCCACAGCGTGTCCTGCGGGAGGAAAGGGGACCCAGGGTGAGGACCCCTCGGCCGTGGCCGGGTCCCTGCCCTCCCGACGCGGCCTTGGCTTGCTTACCTCTAGGCCGCTCCCGGGGTCCGTCCTGCTTCTGCTAGAGGTCAGCGGTGCCGTGGTGGGCTCCGCGCGGCGCGAGGCGGCCTCTGACGGGCTCAGGGCCCCAGCAGAGCGGAAGGCTCGCGTCTCCTCCACGGCTTGGCTGCCTCTCTTGAGCCTCTTGTTTTCTGTTTGCTCGCCGGTCCCTACGAGAAAACAGGTCCGCTCATCTTACTCCCCTGTCCTGTGCTGGAAAGACCCTTGGGGAAAACCTGGGAGAAAGGGAAGAGTTAGAGTCAAGACTCTCTTAGCCCTCCCACCTCAGAACTCTTTCAGCGGGTCCTGTCCGCATTAAAACCAGGCAGCACTGGGTCTACAGGATCAGGCTGAGGCTGCACACTGGCTTCGGGGTCTCCCTGTCCCCACAGAGCTGGGCCTGGGAAGACATCTGGGATTGAACCAAGCCCTTATTTGGGGCTCGCGCCAAGTCGGTCACTTGACACGTTCCTCCTGGAGTCTGCACCATCCAGCTCCTCCCTACCTACTGTAAAGCCTGGCCTCACCTCTCTCCCCCTTTGTTGCTCAGGCTTCAGTAGGCAGTGCAAACTAAGTTTGGATCTATAGCTTCTTCCTGAGCAGGTCCTGGGAATGTATATCAACAGCTGTTCCCTAGGTGCAGCTCACAGGTACTAGGAAGGGAGCAGTAGTGTGTACAAAGTCCAGGGGGTAAAACAGAAAGAAGCTGTTAATGATCTCTGTAAGTGAAGAATGGTTTCCTTGAGATGTCTGAGCTGGGTTTTGAAGGATGAAGAGAAATACGCTGGACTGACAAGGTAGAGGAAGGGCGTTCCAGGCTGAAAGAGTTAGGCAAACACACAAAGGCATTAAGCGGTATCCTACATAAAATGCAAGATGGCGATTCTAGGAGATGAATCTGAATGGGTTAGTGGGAATCAGGGCAGGCTAAGAAATGGATTTTTATCAATAGGAAACCGGAAGGCAGTGAAGACTTTTAAACATGAGATAGATTGTTAATTTTGTGTTTCAGAATGATCATTCGTCAAACATGTGGCTTAGAGCCAAGTTGAAGGAGGGAAGACCTCAAGAACCCAGAAGTGAAGGCAGTGAAGATGGAGGAGTCGGGAGTATTCATAAGGCCGAATCGACAGGCCTTGGTGGTAGACTGAATGTGAAACATTAGAATGAGGGACATCTCAGATGAATCTCGGGATTCTGATGTGAAAAACTGGATATATCGACTGTGGTGCTATTAATCCCGACACAGACTAAAGAAAGAGCTGATCTTGGGTGTGTGTGCAGAGGGCAAGGTACCAGGAGAGAGGAAGTTGACCATATGGGTCCACCATAGGGAGCAACCTAGTGAGCAGACAGGTCTCCATCTAAGGCTCTGGAGAGACCTGGACTCATACCAACTGAGGAGTCTCATTCTCAGAGGCAGGGGTCAGTACCTGGGATGGAAGAGAGAAGCTAGGGAGGTGGTGCAGTGTGAGAACTGTTTGGGGGTGGCCAGAGGAAGCTAGTCGAAGAGAGAAGGTAAGAGATGAGGAGAACCTGGTGCATCACGGTCTCACAGTGCCAAGTGCTGCAAATAGTCCAGGTATGATACAGATAAATGCACAATCAATCTGATAATTAAGAGGCCTTCCCAAACAAGAGGTGTGCAGTTCAGAGGCACAGGAAAAGCAGTGCCCTGGATTAGAGAGGGAATGAAAGAAAGAGATGGAAACAGTGCAGCTTGCTTCTTGGAGAATCCTGACTGAGATGTGATGGAGATAAGTGGAAGAAGTTCAAGATCATGGGAGATGTCCTTCTGAAGATGGACCTCCTGACGGAAAGAACTCAGAAAAGGAGTTGAAGGTGCAGAAGGAATAACTGATGGCACCGAGAAAACAGGAGTAATGCCCCCTGGAGGGGTGAGCCCTGTGCTGATAAGGGTCTGGCAGTGGGCGGAGTACAAGTTGGGTGAGTTTATGGGAAAAAAGAGATTAGTAAGTGAAGTAGGAGGCTAAATCAGGAGGTTGGGTAGAGGGTGGGTAGATTTTTAAAAGAATGGAGTAGCCACTGAGGAGAAAGTCAGGAAGACTGGGGAGAACTGACAGACGGAAGGCTCTTCGGGGAATGGACCTTCAGCATCACACGCTGTTGATTTTCTTCAGCACAGCTGCCAGTGTGGGACACGGGACTGACGGCAACCAGGGTGCGGCTTTGCAAGGCACAGCGGCTCAGACACTCTTCTGGGGGGTCCACCCGATCGTAAACACTCAGCAGAGAGAGCATGGGCTTTAAGGCAGCAGGCTGAAATTCAGATCTTCCTCCTGCTATGTACACCAGTGTTCCCCACCCCAAAGCGTCACTGTGAAAGACTGGTCACTAAAAGCTTAGCATCTCCCTGGGTCCACAGAAGGTGCTGAATTAAATGTTAATTTCTTTCTTCTAAAGAAAGTGAAAGTGTCACTCAGTCGTGTCCCAATCTGCAACCCCATGGACTGTAGCCGGCCAGCCTCCTCTGTCCATGGGATTCTCCAGGAAAGAGTACTGGAGTGAGTTGCCATTTCCTCCTCCAGGGGATCTTCCTGACCCAGGGATTGAACCCAGGTCTCCCAAATTGCAGGCAGATTCTTTACCATCTGAGCCACTAGGGAAGGCCTTTTTCTTCTAAGGAAAGTACTTACTCTTGTCTTTTCACTGTACAAATACTGAATTGTGTGTGGTGAATACTGTTGTGTTTGATGATACACTTCCATTCTTTTAAATCTCCACATCTAAATTTATATAAGCCTTCACTGCAGGGTTCTTTTCAGGAGGAACAGCCCCCACAACATTTAAAATATAATTCAATAGAATGACTCAGAAATACATCTTAGACCTTAGCATAGACACCATGCAGCATGTAGCTGTTAGCCCGGAAAGAGTTTCACCAACAAAGCATGATGCTGAAATCAGTCCCCCAGTTCCCTCAAGCCTAGGCACTGTTTTGTCTGACAGTATATCTCCACTGGTCTGGCTCTGTTAGCCAGACCAGGCTGCCTGGGTTCGAGTTCTGGCTCTGTCATTTACGAGCTGTGTGAACTCAAGTAGGTTTACTGACATCTCTGGGCCTCAGTTTCCTCATCTGTAAAGCAAGGCTAATGATAGTACCATAGTATTGTCTTGAGAATTAAGAGCATTACTGTATATAATACTTTCGGAATTCAGACTAGTGCCTGGCTCCTGCACCACACAGGTTCAGGCACCAGTGGCTATGATTCTTTTCACACACACACCTGCTGCTGCAGGCCCTGAAGGCGGTTTAAGTGTTGGAGGGAGAGGGTAAAGACAGTAGAATCACAGCTACATCACACACACTCTCACCTCCCCCATAACGTCCATGGAGGTGGAGGGGGTGTCTGCACCCAGGAGCAGATTCCACAGCCCAGTATTCCACAGAGTAGTAACCGAAGCCAGGAAGAGCCACAGTATCAACACGAATGACTGAGAAAAGATACAGAAGAACTGACTGAATTGAGGGCCTCACCCCATCATGCGCAGCTATCTGTAACTATACAAACAAATTTCTAGATGCTGCCCCAGAATACCCTACTTGTGGTGGGAGCCAGCCAGATCCTGGAAGGACATCGCTGTGGTATAAGGCGCAGTCTGAAATTCTGAAGTCAGGTTTTTTACTTCCCAGCTTTGATCCAGGGCTCACCTGAAAAGCTGAAATCCTACCTGCAAGGAGCTCCAGGCTGCTGTTCTCATGTGTCTCCTCTGTGTTCTGCTCTGCCTCATTTTTCTCTGGAAGCAACTGCTTAAAAAATTAGAAGTCCTAAGTGAGTTCCACAGAAGCATGAACAAGCCCCAGTGAGATCATGTGCCTGTTGGCTTTGTGGACCCCATGGGGCTGTCCTCCCTCACCTGGAACCCTCTCTTCCTCCTGGGTCATGTGAACCCCCTCCCCAGCTCCACCATCAAGGCTTCCTTCTTCCTTTGGAGCCTTTGCAGCTGACTCCAGGCATTTCCTTCCTCTCTGAGGTCCAGTCACTCATCTACTATCTGCTCTACTCCGTGGGCCCTGAAATAGGCACTGCATGCCCTTTTTCATCATTTTATGTGTTTATGTCCATTTTCTACATCTTAAATTCCTTGAAAAGTAAGGGAATGGCAATCCATTCCAGTATTGCCTGGAAAATCCCATGGACGAGGAGCCTGGTAGGCTAGAGTCCATGGGGTCTCAAAGAGTTGGACACGACTAAGTGACTTCACTTTTGTCATGTCTGTAGCTCTTTTAAAGCTAGCATAGTGCCTTGCACAGGGTAAGTGCTAAAAGAATGACTGACTGAGGTCAAACGTGGGAAGCCACAGGGCACATTTTATAGTCTTGTATAGCCCTTCAGAGCCCTGCTATTTGGTTCAATTTGGACAGAGAAACAAAGGTCAGAACCCAATCCTCTGAGCTACTTGTTTTTCAATACAGGTATATAAAAACAGGTCTCTGCATCACAATTAAAGCTTGTGCTTCGAGGGACACTTGTACAGGGAGCAAACAGTCAGAGCACAAGCGTGGGAGGAGGTGTCTGAAGGCCCGTCTGACAAGGGGCTCCTAGTCCAGCTGTAAAACAACCACCTAATTAAAGAACGGGTTTGACAAAATTGAATAGACATTTCTCCAAAGAGAGGTAAATGGCCAATAAGCACATGAAAAGGTGCTCAACATTATTGTTCTTTAGGGATATGCAGATCAAAGCCACTATGAGGCACAACTTCATGCCCAGTGTGATGGTAGTAGTTGTAATAATAATAACTATTGATAAGGATGTGCAAAAATTGGAACCATTATACAGTGCTGGTGGGAAAGTAAAGTAATGCAGCCAGTTTGGAAAACAGTTTTGAGTTATCATGAAAAAGTGAAAAAAGTTAGTTGCTCAGTCGTGTCTTGACTCTTTGCAACTGCATGCACGGCAGCCCTCCAGGCTCCTTGGTCCATGGAATTCTCCAGGCAAGAATACTGGAGTGGGTAGCCATTTCCTCCTCCAGGGGATCTTTCCGACCCAGGGATCAAACCCACGTCTCCTGCACTGCAGGCAGATTCTTTATTGTCTGAGCCACCAGGTTATATCATATGACCCAGCAATTCTCCTAGCTATCCGCTAAACAGTTACAAACATATGTCTATTACACACAAATAATGTTTACGGCAGCATTATTCATAATAGCCAAAAAGTGGAAATAACATGTCCATCAACTGATGAATGGATTTTAAAATGTGGTATGGACTATTACTAAAATGAGTAATGGACTATTACTCAACTGTAAAAAGGAATGAAGTACTGTACCTGTTATAACATGGATGATGAGCCTTGAAAACATTAATTACACTAAGTGAAAAAAGCCAGACACAAAAATCCACTCATTGTACAATTCTATTTATATGAAATACCCAGTATAGGCAAATCCATTGAGAGAAATGTAAATTAGTGGTTGCCAGGGGACAAGAGATAGGAGAACTGAGACTGATTACAAATTAGGTAAAGTTTATTTTGGTTTCTTTTTGGTATGATGGAGATGTTCTGGAATTTAGTGGTGATGGTTGGAAAACACAGTGCATATACTTAAAACCACTGAACCACTGAATTTGTATAAATGGTAAATTTTATAGTATGTGAATTATAACTCAATAAAAATGCATTCCATCATATATTGTTTACTAAAGCAAGTTTTAGTTTTTAAGTAATTATACTCCAAGGAACATAGAAGAGTTGAAGATGGCCTTAAAGGTGTGAAAAAAGAAATAGTATTAGGAAAATTTCCAAACATTTTTTTCCTTCTTTGAAAGAAGGCTTATTCTACTTCACTCCAGCCTAGAAAATCTCATGTAATAGACAAACCTTTATCTTATCTTGAAACTGGTCACACCAAAGAAATATCTAAATTCAGATATAAATCTCAGAGTTCCAGGGGAATCTTGCACACATCCCTATTCATCATCAGTTCCCCAGGTGAGACAGCCCTTTCCACAGGATAGACCTCCTTGAATTTAACACTATCAGATATTATTCTAATCTACCACCAGGAAATACTTTTCCTTAGAAAGTTCTTCCTGCTACTGCTCCTACTTATTCTGGATTTAAGTTTTTAGTCCCCACACTCAAATGTGACAGTTAGCCCAAGATTACTGTCTTGTCTCATGGCCTACTGTCCTCTGTTCCAACACCAAGGCTTAAAATCTCCACTCTTGGAGTGACCTTTCCACAAATATCTTCTGTAAAACTCTAAATATTCTTTCATTTCTCCCATTTATCCATAAACTATACAATAGCCATAGATGTTTTTATTCTATATTACTCAAGAGGTCAGCTATTCTACTTCACCTGCTTGGAAGTGTAAACTGAGGGACTGGTCCAGAGGTAAAAGAATTGGACCTAGCATCGTTGTTCTTGTAGTTTTTAGCTATAGCCACTAGGTGCCACTCGTGTGCCAGTAACAAGCTGTCACTAAATGGCCATTATCAGAAGGAGCTGGTAATGATCTTGAGTAAAGAAGTATGGATTCTACTTGATGCCTTTGGTCACTGTTCATCTCCCAGGGCTTGTGATCCAGTCCTATATGGTAAAAATGTTACTAGGCTTCAGATCTAGGAGCCCTCATTATAAATCCTAGACTTGCCATTTACTGACTGTGTGATTCTGGGCAAATTAGAAAAGTTGTCTATAACCAGTTTCTTCATCTATAAAATGGGAAAACTACATACAACCTACCTCATAGGATTTTTGTGGAGACTAAAGTCAAAATCTTGGCACAGATTAGGGATTCAATAAATGTTCCCTCCTTCCAAGACCGATGACTACTGTGTAAGACTAGCCATCTGCCAAGTTTATTGGGCTATGAATGGCCCTGAGGCTATGAGCCATCACTATAACAACACAAAGGAGGTCAAATCATCTCCTTTTCAGATCTCACTGGGTTATCAGAGAGGCCTGAGCAAAAGGACTTCCCAGGCTGGAACACTTTTAGATCCTGCCCATTTCCCAGGTCCCCTGATAATGCCACACGCCTTACCCTTGACCTATGCCTAGAAACTTGAAGCTGTGGATGGCTGTAGTGAATTGAGTAGTGGCTCCCCCAAAGATATGTTCAAGTCTTGACCACCAGTACTTGTGAATGTGACCTTAATTGGAAAAAGGGTCTTTGACATAATTAAGGATCTCAAGATTAAGATCATTGTGGATTTACAGAGGGCCCTGATTCCAGTGACAGGTGTCCTTATCAGAGAAAGGCAGAGGGACATTTCAAAGACAGAGAGGAACAGCCGTATGGAGTTATGTGACCACAAGTCAAGGAACAGCTGGGGCCACCAGGGCTGGAAGGGGTAAGGAAGGATTCTCCCCTAGAGCCAATGGAGGGAGTATGGTCCTGCCAACACCTTGTTTCAGACTTCTGAACTCCAGAACTGAGAGACAATAAATTCCTTTTGTTTTTAAGTTACCAAATTTATGGTAATTTGTTACAGTATCCATGGGAAACTGATACAGTGGGTAATAGCCCTTATTTGCTCAAGTTGTGGGCAGCAGTTTCCCAAGTTGTAGGGAAATCAGAAAGAGTATTTGCAGTGAGCCGGCTGATGCTTTCCTAGGAAGGTGCTTCCTAGCTGGGATGTACAGCCAAGAAAACACAGTGTGGTGAAGGCAGCACTTATAGGGCTTCCCTGTTACAAAGCAGAGGAGGACGGGCAAATCCATGAGATGCTGTGGTCTCTGGGTGCCCAGGTGTCTAGACCTCCCCATCTGATCAGGCAAACAGAAGTAGGAGAGGGAGAAAAGCAGAAGAGGTGTTACTCTCTCAGAAACAGTGTCTGTAATTTTTTTACAGCAACTTCACTGAGATATAAGTTGCATACAAGTAATAAATTGCATCTTTATAAAATACAATTTGATAAGTTCTGGCATATGTATTAATACATGTGAAACATCACTATATCAAGATAATGAGCATATACATCACCCTGAAAAGCTTCTTCTGCCCTTCATAACTCCTCACTCCCTCTAACTCCTATACCCCCCCTCTTTAAACAATCACTGGTCTGTAACTATACAGTAACTGGCATTTTATAGAATTGTATATAAATTCAGTCAAGCACTATGTACTCTTGTATTTTCAGGTTTTTTCATTCAGCATGGCTGTTTAGAGATTCATCCAACCTATTGTGTATCAAAAGTTCATTCCTTTTATTGCTGAGTAGTATTCCTTTGAATGGATATGCCACAGCTTGTTTATTCATTTACCTGTTAACACTGGGTTGTTCCCAGTTTGGGGCTATTACAGATATGGAAGATGTGCCATAAACACTGGTGCAGACATTTCTGGGTGGACACATGCTTTCATTTCTCTGGGGTAAACACGTAGAAGTAGAATGGCTAGGTTGTGTGGTAAATGTATATATACATTTTTAAGAAACTGCCAAGCTGCTCTTCACAGTGGCTGCATCATTTTTCACTCCTACAGTGAGGGTGTAACAGCTCCTGTTCCTGCACACCCTGCCAGCACTTGGTATGGTTAGTCTTCTTATTCTAAGTACATGTGAAATGTTACTTGATTGTGGTTTTCATTTGCACTTCCCTAATGACTAATGATGTTGAGCATATTTTTGTATGTTTATTTGCTATTGTATATCTTCTTTTGTAAAATGTGTGTTCAAATATTTTGCCAATTAAACAAATTGGGTTGTTTATTTTCTTACTATTGAGCTTTGAGAGTTTTAAAATAATCTCAATATGATGGTAAGATTTTTAACTCAAAATTCAACTTCTTTAATAGTATAAAGCCACTCAAGCTATTTCTTGAGTGAACTTTGGTAATTTATGTCTTTCAAGGAAATTTCCATTTAATCTAAATTGTCAAATTTAGTGCAGTATTCATAACATTCCCTGATAATTCTTTTAATATTTGATGCCACCTCTCTAATTTCTGATATCAGTGGCAATTTGTGTCTTCTCTCTTATTAATCATCTTTCTCAGTGAATCACCTTTATGTTTCAGTGATTTTTTTTTGTCTATTGTTTTTCTATTTCACTGACTTCCACTCTAATCTTTATTATTTCATACTTCTCTTTATGTTTAATTTGCTCTTCTTATTCTAGTTGAAGTTGGAAGCTTCACTGTATGTCATTGTGTCCTTATTTCATACTTGTTTTTAAGGACACTTTTGTTGGGTAAAGAATCCTAGGTTGACAGGTTATTTTTTTCAGTATTATAACTCCATTTTCTTCTAGCGTATACAGTTTATGGTGAGAAACTTGCTGTAGCCCTTATCTTTGTAACAAAAGAAGGGTTTTGGTGTTTTGTTCTTGTTGGGGTTTTTCTGGTGTCTGTTTTTAAGACTTTCTCTTTACCACTGGTTTTAACCAATTTACTTATGATGTACCTTGGTGTAGTTTTCCTTGTTTCTTGGGCTTGGTTTAAGATTCTTGGATCTGTATAATTTATACATTTCATTGAATTTGGAAACATTTCCACCATTATTTCTTCAAATATGTTTTCTGCCTCTGCTGCTTCTTCAGATTCTCTAATTATACATGGCTTAGGCTATGTAAAGTTATCCTATAACTCACAGATGCTTAATGCTCAATTATTATTATTTTAACCTCTGTGTTCAGTTTCAGGTTCTACTGCTATATGTGTTTCCTTAAGTAATGTGCCATTGATGCTAGTGGTGTAGTCAGTATAATTTTCACCTTGGAGACATTAGCTTTCACTTTAGAATTTGTTTGGGGCCTTTTTTATGCCATTCATATATCTAGCTAGTATGTTCAACCTTTTCTCTAGCTTCCTGAACATATGGAATACAATTATAAGAATAACTTGTTTTTTTACTAATGTTATCTTGCATGTCAGTTCTGGATCCATTTTGACTGACTGATCAATCAACTGAGTTTTCTCTTCATTGTGGGCTGTATTTTCCAGCTTCATAGCATGCTTTTTTTTTTATTAGGTTCAAGGTGGTATGAATATTATCTTGGTGGGTGCTAGATGTTTTTGTATTCTTATATTCTTTCTTTAAAAATATATTTCTTTGGCTGCGTGGGGTCTTCGTTGCAGCAGGTGGGATCTTCCTGTGGTACGTGGACTCTCTCAGTAGTTGTGACGCATGGGCTCCAGGGCACACGGGCCTCAGCAGTTGTGGCATTTGTGCTCTCCTGCTGTGGCACACAGGCTCTGGAGCACACATGGGCTTGGCAGCTACAGCAGGGAGGGTTATTTGCTCTGTGGCATGAGGGTTCCGAGTTCCCTGACCAGGGATTGAACCCATGTCCCCTGCATTGCAAGGCAGATTCTTAACCACTGGACCATCAGGGAAGTCCCCTTATAAATATTTTTGAACTTTTCTCTGAAATGCCATTGAATTAGTTAGAAACCACTTGATCCTTTTAGGTCGTGCTTCTGCTTTTGAGCTTTGTTAGGCAGAACCAAGGAGTGTTTACTGTAGATGTAATTTCTCTCCATTTCTGAGGCAAGACTATTCTTAGCATTTTACCTGTGTGTGCTCTGTGCTAAGTCGCTTCAGTCGTGTCTGAGTCTTTGCAACCCCATGCACTGCAGCCCGCCAGGCTCCTCTGTCCATGGGATTTCCCAGGCAAGAATACTGGAGTGGGTTGCCACGCCCTTCTCCAGGGGACTTTCCCGATCCAGCAATCTCCTGTGAGAGAACCCACATCTTCTGTATCTCCTGCATTGCAGGCAGTTTCTTTACCACTGAGCCACCAGGGAAGCCCAGTATCTTACCTGGTGCTCCATAAATTATAAGACTTTCCTCTCTGGTTGATGGGAATAGGCACTATTCCTAGCCCTGTGTAAGCTCTGTCTATTGTTCCCTCTAATCCTGAGTGGTTCTTTACTGGACAGTTTTTCACATGAGTTGAACTGGTCAGTACTCAACTGAATACTAAAGACAGGAACCTCAGTGAGCTTTCTCTCTGCTACTCTGCCCTGAAAACTTGAGCTGCCTTGGCATCCCTGGATTCCCAGCTTCATCTTCTCAACTCGGGGAGACCACTGGGCTCTGCCTGGATTCCCTCTCCCTATCCATGGCTTCTGTACTTTCTCTAGGTGGTGTGTGAGGGCAATCATAAAGTTCAACTCATTTGCTTTCTGTCTGTCAAGAATGACTATCCCATCTATTTTCTGAGGTCCAGTGTCTTCAGAACCATTGTTTCACATGTTGTATTTTTTGTTACTGTCCAGATTTTTGGTTGTTTCAGGCAAGGGGGTAGATCTGTTCCCTGTTACTTTATCTTGGCCAAATGCCACAGCATAATAATTTCCCCCTTAATCTCTTTTATTTACTCATCTTATACTTCAATTCCAAAAAAGTCAATACTGCTGAGTATTGCCAAGAAAGTCAGAAAGGTAGGCTTCAGCTTGAACACTACTACTACCTACACCTAGAATCAAGAAACATAAAAATATCCCAGCTATGATTTCTCTTCACTCATTAGAGAAGCCTGTAACTATTTGATCCCCATGAGGGCAGAGATGCCAACTAATATAATTCTATATCTCTGGTATCCAAAAAGGTGAACAAATAAAAGTATGCTTTTCATTTGGCAAAACTAAACATAAGAATTCCATCATATCATCATCATCATAAAAGTAGCTATGTGCTAGTAGTTCACGTAATTCTCTTATTCAGACCTTACAACAATCATTTTAGGTATACATCATTTTTATTTTACTGCTACAGAAACTGAGAGTTGGAATAAACAGCTTCTATAATAATACCATGCAACTAGGTAGTGGCAGAAATGGAATTCAAATGACATTGCTAATCATGCTCTTAACCTCTATGTAATACTATGTTCTATAAAATTTTTCTAAACCACAGACTTCTTTGCTGAAAGGCTACCCTCAGATTGTTCAGTCTAAAGCAGTATATATAACCCCTGTGTATTCAGGTTTCTCATATATCAATATGGGAGATTTTCACCAAAGTACTGATTATTACTTTACACTTACCTGCTTCACCTCATGTGAGCAGTGGTAAAGAAATCTGTGCTGGGTGACCTCATGAAATGATTTATGCAGTTTGGTCCCAAATTCCTGTGTGTCAGCTGCCTAAAAAGGGCCAGAGATAGAACATGTTGAGTTCCAAAGGGTGAGTACCCACAGGAAGTTTGTATGGGGAGAGGACGAGACAAAGAAAGGCAAACCAATGACATCCTTCATGTTGTGTTAGAAGTTTCCTTAGTTCCTATGCACACAGGGTAAGCAGAAAGAAGGTCTGGGATACTTGACATGAGATAGGCAGTTGTGGCTTCTATATATCTTCCAATTTCTGTTACCTAAGTGAGATCGATCACACAAGGTCTTTGTTCTTCTATCTCTATAGGAGATTATATATCCCAGAGAGCCATCTGTTTGTGAAGAAGTTATATAAACTGCTTTCCTCTAAAACAAGTTCCAAGAGAGCAGAGGTTATCTACTGAACAACTAAGGCTGATATAGAAAATTTTTCCCCAGTTAAACCTTTCAGGGAGGAAAGGAACAGTAATATAGTTTGCATCTATAAGGAATGGGTAACAGTCTCAACTTTAGTATAGAATTGTAGGATATTAGAGTTAAAGGGGACCTGAGTAGTCACCTAATACAACACACTAATGTTACAGATGAAAAAACTGAAATTCAAACAGGAAAGGTGACCTACCTAAGATCTCACAGCCAGTTAGTATGAAAGTTAGGGTTAACTTTAGGATTGCTAGTATAGTGTTCTTCTCAATACCCTGTGCTACCCACATGACCCAGAAAGTTGAAGCTGTGAGAAGATGCACTAGATTATAAAGGTGTTATACACTTTGACCCATTAACCCCATTTATAGAAATTTTTTCTAGGAAATGATTCAAAAGAAGCAAGATATCACATATAGGTATTAACTGAACTATTTATTGGCAGAAAAAATGTAAACAAATATCTGTCAGTAGGGGAATGGTTTATTAAATTATATTAAACCAACCCAGTGGAATATTGGTTAACCAGTATTTTAAGACTGTTGAAACAAGGAAAAAGGTCAAATTATATATTAATATAGAATACTTTGGCCATAATTATATAATATATATGAGATAAATATGCAAAAATTAAGTGATAGTTTATTAACTATTTAAAATTTTGTGTATATTATGCTATTTTCTCAAGAAAAAAGGTACAAAGAAGCAACTGACATGGAATGAATGTGTTACCCCACTGATAATACCAGTTGGTCAACACACATTGGAAGGGAGGAAGGGAGGAAAAAAACCAACATTTATTAAAGAATCTACCATGTGTTATCACATTCACATTTAGCCCTCAACTTCATAATAGCCCTGTGACATACTACTATTTTTTCTAATTTGTAGATGAACTACAGAAAAGCTCAGTACAGGCCTAAGTCCACATAGCTAGTAAGTAAATGAGTCAAGATTTGAACTCAGGCCTCTGATTCCAAACCTTGTTACACTATTCCAAACTGCCAAACATATGTCACGTTTATGGTGACTCAGTTATTTCCAATGTATGCTGTCACCATGATGTAATAGAACACTCTTTAGTAAGAAATTGGGACTCATGACCTAATCCTAGCTCTGCTTGTAACTATCTGTATGACCTAAAAGAAACAGAAATCTTAAATAACTTGTTTTCTCATTTATAAAATAGTACATACATCACTCTCTATTCAATGAACACATCATAAAACACTTAGGTAGAATCATAGTAGGATCAAATTAAATGATGTTTCTAAGATCACTGCACATATTACTGAGAGAGGCAGCAGAATGTCATTAAAACCCCACACCTTTAAGCATCTCCAATCCTTACCAACCTGAAGCGTCTGGAGGCAGGTGTTCCGGAAGCTGCTGTTTGTGCTTCCAGTCATAATACTCATGATGGAATTCACAGCCACTGACAGTGAGGCCTGTAGTTTCTGATGAGCCTAGGGAACAAAACAAGGAAGGGGGAGACCATAGTTTATAATAATCCTAAACTGCTGGTTCAGAGAATCCTAAAGGGACCAAATATTTGAGTCAGAGCAGGATTTCAACAATGGTTCCCTTTCCACCAACAATACTTACTGAGATCGTGACACATAAAGGACACTTAAGGAATTTAAATACATTAAAAATGTTATCTCCTTTCACAGAGGTGACGTATTGACACAGATACATTCAGAAAAGACAAGCAGTAAGTCACTGGCAATAGGGCAGATATACTTACCATTAAAAAACAAAAAGCTTCAAGCTTTACTCTTTTAGTGTGGTTGTTTTTTGCTTGAAAAGGAGGCCATAGTAAGTAATAAATGTGTTACCAAAAGTATACAAGATGGAGGAATTCAGAAAGCCAAATATTAAGACAAAGTGATGCTATAAAGGATTAGCAAATGGAGGGAGAATTTAAGATTTACTGAAACAGTAGCTCTAGAAGCATGTTTGAGAAGGGGAAATAAATAGATAAGAGAGAGGTGCACTGATGTACGCGTTTATGTATAGAATAGATAAATAACGAGGTCCCACTATATAACCCAGAGAACTCTATTCAATATCCTTTGATAAACCATAATGGAATAGAATTTTTCTTTAAAAAAGGATGTATATGTATATATAAATGAATCATTCTGCTGAACAGCAGTAATTAATACAACCTTACAAATTAACTATGCTTCAATTAAAACATTTCAGGCTAAGTGCATGCATGTGCTATCAATTTATCTAGAACTTATAGTTAGAATAATAAGGCACTTTGGTATGTGAAAGAGAGAAGACATTAATGGCACTCTAAATTAATATGCAATGATAGTTCAATGTGTAGAACTACCTAGAATATTCTAGGGCTTCCCTGGTGGTTCAGACAGTAAAGAATCTGCCTGCAATGCAGGAGACTTGGGTTCAATCCCTGGGTTGGGAAGATCCCCTGGAGAAGGAAATGGCAGCCCACTCCAGTATTCTTGCCTGGAGAATTCCATGGACAGAGGAGCCTGGCGGGATACAGTCCTTGGGGTCACAAAGAGTTGGACACGACTGAGTGACTTTCACTTCACTATGGTTAGAATAATAAAGCACTTCAGTGTGTGAAAGAGAGAAGACATCAGTGGCACTGTAAGTTAATATACAAAGATAGTTCAATGTGTAAAACTACCTAGAATGATATAGAGTCTTGGGTTCAGAGTGTACTATTCTTTTATAAATGTTTTCCTGTCTCTGGTATATGGGAGTGGTGAAAACCAACTGACAGGCACTCAGAACCAAGCCCATTTTGCTTGGGAAAAAACACAATGACCATCAGTCACATGTTCCAAAAAGAAAATAAAATTTGCTCTCTCAAAAAAAAAGGCTTATTATCAGCCATTCTCCCCGTCTATTATTTTGCCCCTTTTTGCTCAAACTCACCTACAAGGAGGTAAGACTAAGCAAGTGGTTACAGTGACCCATCTAGGCTAAAGCCTGAGTTCCGAGGCTAGAGGCAGCTTATAAGATCAGCCCAGGTGATGAAAGAGAAGAGGAAGAAAGATGCATTAAGGGAGGAAGGGATCTCAGCCGCCGTCTGCCAGATACTATATCTTTCTCTGAGAGAGAGAAGGAGAAAGGGAGCTGTGAATTTCTCATTACCTTGACAGCCTGGTGATGCTGCTCCAAGGCCCAGTCCACAGTGGCCTGGATGCAATCTTGCACCACGCTGTGGCTCTCCCTGAGGATGGCACTGAGATGAGCTGAGAGCAAAGTGTGGACTCCTAAAGAGAGGGAGAATATTGGTAACCTTGAGTGAGAATGACCACTTCAAGACTGCTGTTGATGTGCTCTGAGTCAGGGCTGAGGATGGGAAAGAGGCCTCTTGACAGAAGAGGCCACTTCCACCCATCCACAAATAATTGCTTTTTTAGACAAAAAAACCCCCCACAACTTACAAACCTACACAATTTCCACTTACAAAGGACAGAAAGCTCACTAAAAGTGCAGAATATTATGTTTGAAGAATCAAATAAAGGATCCTCTTTAATTCACATCGGAAACAAATATACACCACATACTCTAAACAGTGATACCAGTGACTCCGAAAGGAAAGGAAAAGCCTCCTGGAGAGTATGTCTATTCAGTGTCACTGTTTGGTGAGCGCCACTGTTACTATCAGGGTATCGATCCTTTTAGATGTGCTGTGGTATAGAAAAAGTTAAAACTCACAAAGATGACTCAGAACTTCCAGGATAGTCTTTTACTGATTTGTATTTATCTGTTTTGAGCCACGCTGGGCCATCATTGATGCACTGTTTTTTCCCCAGTTGTGAGTGGGGGCCACTCTTCACTGCGGTGCACCAGCTCCAGGCACAGGCCTCAGCAGTTGCAGCATGTGGGCTCAGCAGCTGTGGCTCCCAGGCTCTAGGGCGCAGGCTCGGTAGTCGTGGTACATGGGCTCAGCTGCTCCACAGCCAGTGGGCTCTTCCCCAACCAGGGATCAAACCTGTGTCCCCTGCGTTGGCAGGCAGGTTTTTAACCACTGGACCACCAGGGAAGTTCTGGTGTAGTCTTTTAAATGGGGGATTCTCTCTGATAAAGTAACCACAGGCACCACTGCTCAGCATCCTTCAGAAAAGCTAACACATGAGACTGATGGGCAAAATACGTCATTAAACAATATGTTAGCATTGATGATCCTGATACAACCAATAGAGGAAGACAACTTTACTTTTCAGGGCACCTGGAGAAAATGCTTCTTAATCTTTCTTTTTCGGTGCTTTTCTACTCTCTGGATGGTCTGTTCAAAGGTAAGGCTCGCATACTTTTCTCAGGGCTATGTTTAAAATGGAAGTCAGAAGGAACATTTTCTACCACAAGGCACCATTATGCTTTCCTGGAGGGGAAAGTAACATGTGCTCTGCTCAAAAGGGGTCTGGAACTGGAGTCAAGAGAACATAGATTCCAGGGTCGATGCTACTACCAACTAATAGTGACCATGTCACTTCAAACATTTCTCTTTTTATTGCAGAAAGTGGCTTTTACCACTTGCTATCATGGGTATTTTGTGCAGATAAACTGGGATAATATATAGGAAGTGTTTTGGGATGTACATTGCAATACTCAGAAAATATCACTATTGCTATGATGATATCATTTGGATTACTATTTTCTATAGTTTGGTCCTAAGAATAGCCTTAAGAAATCAGTCAGACCTCCTTTGAAAGCAGTCATTTAATTGAAAAGCTATCGTTTCATTCCTAAAACTGCTTATACCACCAGATGCCTTTAACACTGTGGCAAAATAATGAGTTAATCATAGAAAAGTTACCATGACAAGGTAGGCAGAAGGCCAATTCAGTGATTTTTTTAAGACACTTGGAAACAGACTGTAGTTCTGCACAATCTGTTTCCTAAAAGGAGCTCTGGAAAAAGCTTTCAAGGATATGAGAAAGAAGAGGGGGAAAAGAAAATAAAATCACTACATAATCTATAAAATTACTACATGTCTATATCTACCTACCCTTACAGTACATCTTCTTCAAAAGCTAGTCCTAAACTCTCAGATGTCTAAGGAAATTTTATTTATTTTTAAAAATTTATTTATTTTTTGCTGCACCTCATGGCATGCAGAACTTTCATGACCAGGGATTGAACCCCAACCCACTGTAGTGGAAGCACAGAATCTGAACCACTGGACCACCAGGGAAGCCCCAGAAATCTTAAGATAATAACTGCTCTGTTTACTGATGCAGTGATGAATTTCAATTTAATCTAATACTTAGTACAGCTACCTGAGATGCTGCAGGCCTTCAGAGTCAAGCTAAACAGAGGTATGCAAACTAGTACAGTTCTAGAAGAATGATAGGTAACCCTGGTTTCTAAGGAAGTATGTTTAATAGGATTCAGAATGGGGTACCAGACTTTATGTCATCCTAGGGAAGACTGAACATAGCAGACCTAAAAAAAAAAAAGCCTAAAAATAGTAGATCTTACATCTTAAGAGGGTCTTTAGACTTGGAAGGGCTTTGATAGCATCTTGTCCAACAATCTCATGTTAAATATATGAAAAGGAAGGATCAGATAATTCCTGTGACTTGTTTCCCAAAAGTCATTAAGGAATTTGATAGCAGAACTAAAAATTTACCCCAGGTCTCTTGATTGTACCCTGAAGTCCTTTCCACCACACTAAGCTGCTTCTTTTAAAAGCCTCTGTCCAGGAGAGCAGAGGCAGGAAACAAACAGCCCTAGGCACTTTCACCTTTGACCTCCTAGTTGGAAGCCTCACAGATTGTCTCTCTTCTACGTTCCCATTCCAGTATCTTAATGAATGGAACAGTGGGGCACCAGGGAACACCGGCTCTTCAAAGAGCTGCAAGCCAGAGTCCAGGAAAGCAGTGCTTCTCTCCTCAAGAACAGATACATGGTGGGGAAAAACAGGAGAGGCATGGAAGGCTGGCAGCAGGAAGAATCCCACAGGTTCAACAAATAACTGGCACCAGTCGATGTCAGCTCTTTTGATCTGGGGTTATAAGCTGTCTCATTTCTCTTATGACTCAATGGAAACAGGGCCACACTAAACAGCACTGGAATGCCTAGAGAGTAAAGTCTCAAGAAAAAACTTTGGCCCACAAAGGAAGAATAACACAGGAACATGTCAGGAGCCCCAAAAGGGAGACTTATGAACATTTCCCCAGACATTTAGAAGCTCCACTTCTTGCTACTTCCTTCAAAGTTTTGGAGGGCACTGAGAAACACTTAAATTTATGTCTCAGACTTTATTGGATTAAAATGCATAAGCCACTCTTATTTGTTCAGTCACTAAGTTATGTCCGACTCTTTGCAATCCCATGGACTACAGCACACCAGGTTTCTCTGTCCTTCACTATCTCCCAGAGTTTGCTCAAACTCATGTCCACTGAGTTAGTGATGCCATCCAATCATCTTACCCTCTGTCTTCCCCTCCGCCTCCTGCCCTCAATCTTTCCCAGCATCAGGGTCTTTTCCAATGAGCTGGCTCTTCACATCAGGTGGCCAAAGTACTGGAGCTTCAGCTTCAGCATCAGCCCTTCCAATGAGTATTCAGGGTTGATTTCCTTTAGGATTGACTGGTTTGATCTCCTTGCAGCCCAAGGGACTCTCAAGAGTCTTCTCCAGCACCACAATTCAAAAGCATCAACTCATATTCAGTGGTTTTCAAATTGTACCATGTTTAGGAATCACCTGAGAATTTTGTTAAAAATGCATATTCCTGAGCCATACAGATATTTACATTAGCAAAACTGAGTAAATCCTTGCCCAGGAAGCTGCACATTTTCAAATACTCCAGGTGATTCTGATGCACATGTTTCATGGAGCATAAAACAGATTATAAATCACAGCTTTAACAGAGAGAACCTTCTGATAGCAGGTTATTACCTATCTGTTAGATAAATGCCAAAGGCATCTGTATGCCTGAACAAGGACTCTTTGTCCTGTTCCATAAATTGATGTGGCAATCCCACAAAGCCATTCATACCAATGCACTCCCACACCTCCCTGTGTTGAATTTGAGACGTGGCGTTAAGGCCAAGTAAGACTGATAGCTTTTTTTGATTGCACTTGGAAAAGCAGGAGGATGGTGAATAGTACTCCAACCTGAGAAGCTTTAAAAACATACTGATACCTGAGGCTCACTTCAGTCCAAGGAAATCCAAATCTCTAGGGATGAGGTGTGGGCATTTTTTAGAAGCTCCTCAGGTAATATATTGTGCAGCTGAGGTTGAGAACTACCCGTCTAAGGTAATATACCCTGTAGGGACCAACGGGAAGTGTCTACTGATTTCTGGTCAACCAAATCTGGGATTATCATCATCTAAGTGATGCTTTAAGATATAGATCTTTCTCACATAGCATATAATTTAACTTACTTAAGCAAGGGTTTTCACTGAAATGTGTTATTCTACAGGAGCACATCTATTCAGATTTATGCATCATGTAAAGTCTCCTTTCTTTAAAAAATATTTTTATTTATTTATTTGGCTGCACCAGGTCTTAGTTGCAGCACATGGAATCTTTGATCTTTGTTGTGAGATCTTTAGTCGTAGCATGTGAACTCTTAATTGCCACATGTGGGATCTAGTTCCCCAACCAGGGATTGAAACTCGGTGATTTCACTGGAGAGTTTAGGAGCATGGAGTCTTAGCCACTGGACTACCATGGAAGTCCCCAAGTCTCTCTTCTTTATTCTCTTAACATTTAAGCACATCCAAGCTGGCAGCCCCATTCTTCTATACCTACCCCAGAGTTCCATTTTCTGGACTGGAAATCCTCTGTGGAAATCCACAAAAAGAAAAAGCAGCAGAGTTTGTCCCTGAGGATCCATATTCTGAGACTGTTCTTCTCCCTCACCGGATTCCACCTGATAACTCACATCTGGAAGCACCGAACCTAGAGGATGTTACAGAATATCCTAAGATAAGTAAAGCCCTCAAAAAGCTAAGTGAATAAACAACCTATGCTTCAAACAAAGAGGGACCTGAGATAGATCTAACTTTGAACACTCCCTTCTCCTCCTGAATCTGTTTCTCTACCCACATGATGGAAGCAAATAATAGTGACTCATAGGAAGAACATCAGAATAACAACTGGGTATGTAAAATGCAAACCAAACAGCATTCCTTAGAATTTACTGAGAAGCATTATACAATAAATTCATTCATTCCTGAAGTTACTTTCTAAGGTAGGTATCAGCTGTAAGAGGCTAGTAAGACATGGGTATCACTAGTAGAAGAGTAATGATCATGATAAGAGCTAACTTGTATTGAATGCTGACTACATGCCATGTACCACATGAAATTCTTGGCGTGGACTATCTCAACATTTAGATTTCACCACACTATGGTATGGGACCTAGTCTTAGGCTCTTTTACGGACAAGAAAAGAGGCACAGATAGGTTAAATACATTGCCCAACATGAGACAGTAGGTGATGGAACTGTTTTAGACTAACCCCAAAATCTGTGCTCTTAACCACAATGCTATCTGATATTTGTATTCCCATGTAATCTGATCCCTACAGTCACTTTCTAGCACCTTAATCTTTTAAACTACAATCCATGTGGTCCAGTTCAGTTTAAACAAGAACATTAATAGACATAATAATACATGTCATTCATTCACTTGCCTCACTTTCAGAGGAACATGAATCACCATTCAAGTTACTAAGACCCCCTAACAAGGGTCAAAGCCAGGAAGAGAAAATGGAATTTGGACTCAGGTACCAAGACAGCAGAGGAAACACTTCGCCCCACTGATGGCCTTGCATGAGTGCTGCCGGAGGTCTGAGTGGCTAGTCACAGAGGCCATCACTGACATTCCTGGCCAGTTAAACACAATGTCCTCCTCAATGCCTGGGCACCTAACCTTCACCTCCACTGTTAGCTCAGCGTCTGTGGCCTTTCTAAATACAAAAAACAAGAGCCAGCCCACAGCTGTGGCCACAGCCTTATTAAGACCAGACATTCTTTCCGCACAAAACCACTTACCTACAGGAGTCCAAGGATACCTCCTTTCATTTCACCCTCTGGAAAAACTACCAACTCAAGAAAAAAAAGACTCACCATGAGGCCTTCTTCCTAGATGAAGATTCTTTCTCTCAGAGATACACCCCTATACCAGGAGGCTTCAATCTTCTCAAACCAGTTACAACTCTAGAATACCTCCTCCCTGGATACCTCCTCCCTACTGGTGAACTTCCTCAGGATCCAGCTGAATAGACTACTACTAAATATCAAAGGATTCTGGCTAACAACAGTCAAGTTCAAGACTATAAAGCTCCTAGACATCAGCTTATGGTTGCATATTCCTATTTCTGAGTTTCATTTGTTGGCCCAACTATTAAGCATCCAATTTTCAGTATGATTCACCCAAAGCCAATGTGGTTAGGCTCTATATGAATAACACAGTCAGTTTACCAGGTTTATTACTATATGGTTGATACTTCTGCCTTGCTTTTATGTAGTATTATATTTTTTCTAAGTAATTCTATATGGATTTTCTCATTTCATTGGGAAATGTTTCTCTTCTACAATAGGTCAAAGATGTGACTGCAACTTTAATAACCTTTTTAAAACTCCAGAGTTGATAGATTAAGGTACAACAGAAACCTTCTGAACAAATCCTTAGAAAGTAAAGGTCCAATGACTACTTCCAGGAGACCAGGAATAGAGGAGGCAGTGGAAATGGGAAGGGAACCAGCATTAACACATAATACCAAAACAGGCTCTGGTGGGGCTTTGCCTGTTGACACCTGTATGACTCACTTCATGTGGACTCTCAGACTTAGCCAGACTCCTACCTGTACCCTCAACCTAAGCCATCAGATCACTAGGTCCTATTCTTATATATATTTGCTATTTATATTTTCTTGCATTTCTCTAATATTTTACAGAGTTCTTTATTCCTATGTAAACAGAGAGAGACAGAGATTTACCTCTGTCTAAACTGAGATCCAAACTGGGCACCATACACAAGCGGCACTTCTTCCCGTCAATGAAATAAGAGGTGTCTTTGAAGACAGCAGTAGTTGGCTGCTCTGAATTTGGAAACATTAGAGGCAGACCTGAAGGTCCATACAGAAATATGTATAGTGGCTAAAGAAAACTCCAAAATGTTAGTTTTTCGTGATTATGTATTCATTTGCATAAAACAAATACAACATTGACCTGGTTCACACTCTCAGAAATAAACTAGCATGCTAGGCAATTACATATTAAGCCCTTTCCACATTAAGGATAGGTGTGAGTCACCACAGACTGAACCACTAGAATCTTCAGAAATCTATTCCACGTTTAACTAGTGTGAGCTACAAGTATAGTATGGGGACAATTTCTTCATTTATTGATCCTCCTCATTAAATCATAGGTTTCAATGGTATTAATAACACAGGCTAAACTCTATACTGTACTAAATTCTGGGGATACAAACATGAATATACAGATTTAATACCTACCTTCAAGTTAGGTTTACAATATGGGAGATACACATAAAAACCAATGAACTGTAATACTATGTGATGCATGCTAAGTTAAAAACATATACCAAAGAATATTTTCCAGTGAGTATGAGTATGTTCAGATTGAGAAGGAAATGCTTCACCTTCTCCAACCTCCTCTCTAACCAGGACTAAGAAAGACAGGCCCCTAAAATGGTTTCCTCCCCTTGACTTTCCAGCCCCACCCACACCCTCCCTGAAAGCCAGGTTATGTGTAAGCCAGTGTTTCTCGCCCTCAGCACACTGACACTCGGGTCAGGTGCTGCTTTGCCACGGGGCCGTCCTGCGCACCACGGATGCTAAAGCAGCATCCCTGCCTTCTCCCCACTCCCACTTGATGCCAATATCACCTCTGCCTCCAGTCATAAGGATCAGAATGTCTCCAGACATTGCCAGATGTCCTCTGAGGGCAAAAGTACCCAGTTAAGAACCACTGCATAAGCTTTTTTTGTCCCCCTGACCAAAGCTAATAAGCCCAGAATATGTATTTTCCTTCATCTTTCTGTTTTCATCCTCTTTTTAATAAGGTAAACAGGAGGCAGTAAGTGTGAAGATTAAAATCCAGTGGGCACTGGGACATTACTGAAAGCCACAACAGAGCAAAGGGAGGCAGTGTCTATAAGTGAAGTCTCTATCACAAACTCAAGAAGGCATTAACGCATGAACTGAGGCCAACACATTCGCTGTTTAGAGCCAGGGAGCTTTGAAGTGCTGCAAACTCAGAATAAGAGTGGTGTATCTGAAGAGTCAGGACATGTTAATGTCTTTTAATTAACTGAGTTGTTTATTTACATTTAATATGAATTTTGTTATGGTTGCATTTAAATCTATCATCTTGTTACATATTTTCTGTTTGTTCCCTGTATTTTATTTCCTTTTTCTTCTTTCCTATTTTTGGATGCTATTTTGGATTGGGTATTTTTAATAATTCCATTTTATCCCCCTTTTTGACTTACTAGTTATAACTCTCGTGGCATTAACTTAGGGATTGCTTTAGGTTTTATAGTGTACAAATATACCTTATCCAGCCTGCCTTCAAGGAAAAGGAAATAAAATACAAGGAACAAACAGAAAACAGATAAGGAGGAGATAGATTTAAACTCAACCATAACAGTATTAATATTCATATTCACTTAAAGTTCACACACATATTGTGTGAGAATCCTTCAAACAATATACTTGTTTACTCCTGTGTCATATTCTAGCCATAGCATATAGTATACCATATTCACTCACCTATGGAAAAAACACCGAGGCTCTAAAACCTATGTCTCTAAAAATCTGACCACTTCCAAATTCCAGACCAAAATTTCTATATGGCTATTTTTAAAACATGTTCTGCGGGCAACATAAATGCAACATATGTAAAGCTAAACTAATCTTCTTTACTCCTCAGATCTGCTATTTATAATTTTCATCTTGTTGCCAGTATCATTATTCTGTCAGCCATCCATGGAAATCTTTTCCAACAGCTTTACTGAGATTTAATTTACATATCATACAAATCACCCATTTAAAGTGTACAATTAAATTGGTTTCAGTATATTCAAAAAGTTGTGCAACCATCACCATCATCAGTTTTAGGATATTTTTTATCACCCCCAAAAGAATCCTTCCCCATCTATTTTCTGGCTCCGTGTATCTATATGTCCATATATCTATGTCAACCCTGTATCTTCTGCATATAGGGCTATTGACAGCAACTTCAGCCACTTCTTGCCCCTAATCTCTCCCTCGCCCAACAGTGAACTGGTTACCTCGTTCTGTTGATTCCTCCCAGTGATCTCTCTCCTTTCCATGCTCTTCACACCTTTAACTCATGTACTGAGTATCTGTCGCCCAGCTCACTTACTTATGTACTTAGTGATTACTGACTTTTCTCTCACAACCACCCTGTACAAGGCTGCTGGCGATTCCTAAAACACTCAATGGTTTCCCATTATACACACAATAAAATTCACATTCCTTAGTGTGGCACTCAAGATCCAAAATATTCAACTCCAAACTACTTTTCCAGCCTCACTGCTCCTACTTGCATCATTCACTCCTGCTCCAGTCACACTGGACCATATGAAAACCAGGTGGCACATGGGTCATATTTTATAGTTTTCAGTTTCTTGCACAAATTTGCAAGCTGAGCTTTCATATTGGATTTTGTTTTTATAACAAATCATACCAACTTCTACATACAGAGTTTATATGCTAGTGGCTTTCCTAGGATTGAAATATAAAAATCCATTTTCAAAGACAAGGAATTTGAAAATTTTGATGGACTCGGTCATCAAAAGGATATGGAAATGGAAGAGATCCTATTCAGCTGGTTGAAAAAGACCTTCGGGCAAGGACACAGAGCCACGGCTGGAGTCAGTGTCAGCTCTCCCAACAAGCCCACTCCTACCACATCATCAGGGATGAAGAGCATTACTGGATGTCCCAGCACAGGATGGATTCTGCTGCAGGGTAATTCAGTTGCATCAAATTTTGCTGTACTGTCCAAAAAAAAGCAGGTAAGACAAATTTAGCCTTTTTCCCTCTTAAGAAATTATTTTAAAGGGAATTCAAGATTCTTGTTATAACCTCTAGCATGTGCATAACCATATAATCCACCACACAAATTTTGCTAGAATAGGTAACTTGTGTCCCACTCAGTGAATCACAGGCAATGGAAAAAGTAGACAAATTGGCATTTCAGGAATTGTAGCATGGCTCCTGCTTTTGCTGCCGCTAATGGCAGTTTTATATTCTCAAAAGCCTATCTCCTCTACTAAAACTACTCTGCGGTTCTGAGCAAAAGTTTCCAAGATCATTCAAAGATCAGCATGGTGGAGGTGGGGTAGGGATCAGCAGTCCCTGAATCATAAATGGCCTAAAACTGGCCTTGTGATTCTTAGATGTCTGCTTTTACATATGCTGCACTTTTCCCTGAAGAAGTCTGAGGTTACTATTTGGTAGGAGTGATGAGAAAAAACTGGAACATCTTCCACTCCTAGAAAGAATCTTGTGAAAAAATCTGGTATTTGCTTACTTTCTGAGAGCTCTTTTGTAAACAGAAAAGAAATATTAATAAACCTTCCCCCCTTTCTCTAAACTAATCAGGTCACAGGGGGAAATATATCCACAAACACTGGCTTAGAGGCTTAAACTCTTTCAGTAAATCTATGATAGCAAGCTGTCTACCTGCAGGGATTGTATGATGCTAGAAGATTACTAAAGAAAGATATGGAATGAGGGTTTCATTTCCTGCAAATATTAAAGAATAAACATATTCTAGTTGGAGAGGTAATTTTGAGCAAAAGTAAGAAAACAGATTGAGAAACCACAGGCAGCCTCTTCAAGCCTTAAGATCCTATGGCTACCAGTATTGATTCAGGGCATATAAGTAGAGGCAGAAATTACTGAAGGAAGAATAAATTCGTTGGACTTAAACATAAGTTAGGCTTTGTCTCACTATAATTCATGTTCACTTTGGATTCTGCAGTAATTGGATAGCACAGGAAGGCAAAGCACAGGGTTCTATTCCATTTATTTTCCACCTCCTCCATGTATTTTTTTTTTTTTTTGTAGTCTGAAAAAGGTGGAGGTGGGAAGAAAGATGATTTCTAAGCCTATGTAAAATGCTAATACACAAACAATAATATACAAAGAATTTCTTTGTATTCATAGTATCTCTCTACCCAAGAGTGCAAGTAACCTTTTAAAGTCATTTCTCTCTTCTCATGCCTAAATGGAATTGGAATTAGCAGAGTTTGTTTTGATTCATTCACAGAAGAAACTAAGGCATGGAGAGAAGAAGGAACATGCATGCCCTCAGGTAAATAAGAATACATTCAAGGAGCCAGGAATAATAATAGCTTTCAATACAGATAGGTTAAATTTTTTTACTTTCACTTTTCTTACAGAGAATCTGACACTTGGCACTAAGAATTGACAACTGAAACCATTTTCAATTTCTGCCCATATTCATACTCATAATAAAAGTAAAACATGGAGCGGGACAAGGCTTTCCCCTTCACCTCAGGTAATGCTGACAGTTTACGACAAGAGCAATTCCATTCGACAGGTTCAAAGTAGGTTCATTCTCTGCCCTGCAAAGTAAAGAAAAGCTAAGCCATATCTTAAAGACTCTAAGACCAATTTCTGCCTGATACAAATTTTGGCCCATTAGTACCAACTCCAGAGATGACTGGAATTTGGTAACCAATTAACTAAGGGGAAGGGGCTTCCCTGATAGCTCAGTTGGTAAAGAATCTGCCTGTAATGCAGGAGACCCCGGTTTGATTCCTGGGTCAGGAAGATCCCCTGGAGAAGGGATAGGCTACCCACTCCAGGATTCTTGGGCTTCCCTTATCGCTCAACTGGTAAAGAATCCACCTGCAATGCGAGAGAGCTGGGTTCAGTCCCTGGGTTGGGAAGATTCCCCTGGAGAAGGGAAAGGCTGCCCATCTCAGTATTCTGGCCTAGAGAATTCCATGGACTGCATAGTCCACGGGGTTGCAAAGAGCTGGACACAACTGAGCGACTTTCACTTCACTAACCAAGGGAATGGCGCAGTGGTAAAGAATCTGCCTGCCAAGGCAGGAGACTCAAGAGATACAGTTTTGATCCCTGGGTCAGGAAGATCCCCTGGAATAGGAAATGGCAACCCACTCCAGTATTCTCGCCTGGGAAATTCCATGTACAAAGCAGTCTGGCTGGCTACAGTCCATGAGGTCACAAAGAGTTGGACACAACTGAGTGACTGAGCACACACAACCAAGAGGAAAATGGTTATTTTTAAGTTTACTCATTCCAGTGAAAGGGAAAGGCATGAAAGGTTTAATCTACTTACTCATTAAAAAGCTAATCTAGAATACGAAAATGTGGGGGTCTTGGAAAATAAGTTTTAAAGTGACTTTGAGTCAAGAAATCAAACTGTGAACCCACTGGAAATAGGACAATAATGACAGAAAAAATGTAGAACCATTGCATAAACTTAAGTCAGGGATTAAGGACTTACCCAAAGATCTCCGTGGAGAGGATTCCATTCACCTTTACACTGAAATTAAATCTAATCTGCAAAATAAGTGGGGTGTGATATTTAACACGAACCAGAACAAGGATTAAAAGCCCCCATACTCAATTCCTAAAGAAGATATTCTTTATATCACCTTTGTCCCCCACTGCAATTTCCCTAAACATAATTAATACCTGTCTGTGTTCAAATTCTGAATCTTAAATACGCTGAGTTCTACCTTAGAGTTCTAATTAGTCACAGATTATGTACATCATGCAAAATGCTGGGCTGGATGAAGCACAAGCTGGAATCAAGATTGCTGGGAGAAATATCAGTAACCTCAGATATGCAGATGACACCACCCTTATGGCAGAAAGTGAGGAAGAACTAAAGAGCCTCTTGATGAAAGTGAAAGAGGAGAGTGAAAAAGTTGGCTTAAAACTCAACATTCAGAAAACTAAGATCATGGCATCTGGCCCCATTACTTTATGGCAAAGAGATGGGGAAACAATGGAAACAGTGAGAAACTTTATTTTGGGGGGCTCCAAAATCACTGCAGATGGTGACTGCAGCCATGAAATTAAAAGACACTTGCTCCTTGGAAGAAAAGCTATGACCAACCTAGACAGCATATTAAAAAGCAGAGACAATACTTTGCCAACAAAGGTCCGTCTAGTCAAACCTATGGTTTTTCCAGTAGTCATGTATGGATGTGACAGTTGGACTATAAAGAAAGCTGAGAGCCGAAGAATTGATGCTTTTGAACTGTGGTGTTGGAGAAGACTCTTGAGAGTCCCTTGGACTGCAAGGAGATCCAACCAGTCCATCCTAAAGGAAATCAGTCCTGAATATTCACTGGAGGGACTGGTGCTGAAGCTGAAACTCCAAACTTTGGCCACCTGATGCAAAGAGCTGACTCATTTGAAAAGACCCTGATGCTGGGAAAGACTGAAGGCGGGAGGAGAAGGGGACGATAGAGGATGAGATGGCTAGATGGCATCACTGACTTGATGGACATGAGTCTGAGTAAGCTCCAGGAGTTGGTGATGGACAGGGAAGCCTGGCGTGCTGCAGTCCGTGGGGTCGCAGAGTCAAACACTATTGAACAACAGAACTCAACTGATGAGGAAACATTACCCTTTGTCCTCTGCTGTTCTCCTAATGGATCTCTTCTCGCCTTCTTAAAGAACTATCCATTTCTCTCTCTACTGCTTCCACTGTTTTCATATACGGAAATCCCAAGCTTTTTTCTTTGTTTTTTCTTCTCCTATCCCCATCGGACTCTTATGTTCTCCCTCCAGTTTACTTCACTGTTGTAATTATTTTCTACTTTCAACCTATATTTTTTTTCTTTCTACATAATATCATGGGTAATAAGGGACTCAAGAGCCAGACTGTCTCCTTTCAAATCGTGGCTCTGCAAGTTATTTAACTTCTGCACCACAGTTTCCTTGGCTGTAAAATGGGGATGATGGTGATAAAACCTACTTCACAAGGGGTACTGGGAGAGCTGAATGAGCGAATATGTGGTGAACACTTGGAATAGAGATTGGCTGACAATAAATACTGAATGTTGCTTAAGACAGAAAAAGTAGGAAACCTGCAAGAAAAACAGGGGAAGTTATACAGCACACTTAATTGCTGTGACGTTATGAACATTTCTAACTACAGATAATAATAAAAATTTTAGCTCTCCTGAGTTTAAAGTCAGAAGTTCCTTATTTACTCTTATAGTCATTTTAGAAAAGGAGATAATCAGCAGTTTCTTATCCAGGTTTAAAAGAGAAAAGAAGCACAGAGGAGGGAAATGAGGTATTCAAAGTGATACAATAAAACAGTAAGGTAGTGAAAATATGAATCTAAAACAAAGTTCTCTCTATATCCACAGGCTCTCAACGATGTCACATGGCAAATACCAAGCCTGTCTTAGAAATACAGGAACCAAACCAATTCAATATTAAAACTTTTAATCACTGTCATAAAAAGAAAGAGAACCAACTAGATCCTCCCATGACCTACAGAGTAGAGGTCTTTTAAAAACACATGACTTAAACAAGAGAATCATTATTGTGCAAAAAGAACAGCTTACCTTGGGGAGCACAGAGATGACTTTGCGTAAAAAATTCTTTATAACCAGATTATCTGTCATCAAAGTCCTGGGGTTTACATCAGCCTATAACAAAAACATCCACCACATAAGCACAAACTCAAGAGCACAAATGAATTAAATTATGGTATTTCTTCTTATAAAAATAACTACACCTCAAAAAGCTTTTCAGACATCCAGGGGGAAAAAAGTAATTTAGATTGGAGCTGAGAAGAGTAACCCTAGCTTAACTCTACTATCCTAGTGAGGGTTACTCTGTATTAAGAATTTCAGTGGGGCTTTCCTGGAGGCTCAGTGGTAAAGAATCTGCCTGCCAATGCAGAAGACATGGGTTCAATCCCTGATCTGGGAATATCCCACATGCCATGGAACAAATAAGCCTGTGCACCACAACTATTGAGCCTGTGCTCTAGAGCCCAGGCACCACCACTACTGAAGCTCATATGCTTTAGAGCCTGTGCTCCACACCAACAGAAGTCACTGCAATTAGCCCACGCACAACTAGAGAGTAGCCCCTGCTTGCCGCTACTAGAGAAAAGCCCATGTCAGCAATGAAGACTCAGCACAGCCAAAAATAAATAAAGAATCTCAATGGAGTCAAAGGAGCAGACATTAAAAAGAACCTAATTTTAAACCTTAATCTGTTCATCCAAACATTAATTTTTAAGGAAAATCTGTAAAGCAGAAGCTCAAAAGTCAGAAGGTCTGTGCTCAGAAAGTGAATGAAAGTGGATTGAACCCAGGTCTCCCGTGCATAAAAGATGGATTCTTTACCAGCTGAGCCGCAAGGGAAGCCCTCCATAATAAAATTTAAAAAAAAAAAAAAAAGTTCAAAGAGGTTAAACAACCTTGCCAAGGTCTTGCTGATCTGGCTCTAAAGCTTTAGCTTTAACCACTTTCCTATACTACACCCCAGTGATCGAATTCGGGTCTCCCACATTGCAGGTGGATTCTTTACCAGCTGAGCCACAAGGGAAGCCCAAGAATACTGGAGAGGGTAGCCTATCCCTTCTCCAGAAGATCTTCCTGACCCAGGAATTGAACTGGGGTCTCCTGTATTGCAGGCAGGTTCTTTAAAAACTGAGCTATCAGGGAAGCCCTTTACATTTAACATAATGTACCTAAAAATCATAGTTAGAAGGTGTCTCCTAGAAACTAGAGAAGTTAATGAAGAGTAAATAGAGTCAGAAATTAGTAAGTTTTTATTAGTGGCTCAGAGAATACAGAGTCATGAACTAGGTACTTATTAAAGGAGAAAAAAGGTCCCAGATTTCAAAATCTCAACACAATAAAGAAAAAACATGTAAATATCTAATAGAGAAGAATAAACTATTGTAATACTTTTTTATAAGTTCACTGAAAAAAGATCAATAACTGTACAATGAGTGGGGATGATTAGAATAACTATCATAAAAATATTTGAAAATATTAGAAAAATGTATGGGGATTATTAGAAAATCTGGAAACAAATCTAGGATTATTAACATGTATAAGTAGCAGTAATTAAACACTAACTGTAGCATACATACCACAGTCATATCCTTATTTTTAAAATGTTTATTATAAAGTGTTCAAATGCAGAAAAGCAATGGTCTCTTTAAAGCATTTTCCATACTTAACACTTCAAAAATAACTTCTTGGAACAGTTTCAAACTTCTGTAACCTTAGTGATTATAGGGTGTAGCATATAAAGGGCTTAATTATATCTAGCAGTAAGGCAACCAAACAAGTGAAAGTTCCTTGAAAAGCTACCAGGAAGGTTCTACAATTAATAATGATGGGAACTATCATTTACTGAACACCTGCTACATGCCAAGCAGTTTACAAACAAGTAGAAGATATTCCCATTTTATGGGTGAGGCTAATGAAACTAAAGAAGCTAATTAAGTTGTCCAAGGTCACACATAGCTAATTAACTGGCAGAATTGGGATTCAAACCTAGATCTGAGTAACTCCAAAGCCCACCTTTCACTATACAGGCTACCTCTCCAAGAAAGCTCATTTTTTGTACATATAGCTATCTGAATCAGATATTATGTAATCTATTATTATTTCTTATGGAACCTTATGGGCAATGCTTACATATGATTACCGAATACGTATATGTATTTATTCATTGATAAAACACTTAATGTTGTTTATTATGTGCCTAGGCTTACAGAGATAAGTAAAAGCAGCTCTAAATTTGAAGAGGTTACACTTAAGAAGAGAAAGAAGAAATAAATAACTTATAATGTGAAGAAGCTTTATGATTTAAACATGTAAGAGAAGCTAAAGAAATACACAGGAATGATTGGCACCTAATCCAGACTGAGAATATAAAGTGAAATAATGTCAGGTCAGCAGAGGATAGCTAACACAAAACAAACAGCTCCTTTTAAGACCGACTCATAAATTACTGAGAGAAAGAGAGATGTGGGGAGGGAGGAAGAGACACTACACAGTCTTTTACAGCCAATACCCCAGGCCTAATGTACCTTCAGAAACAGGGAACTTATATGTTGTCAGGAAAAAAATATGCTGCCGTTCCTGGGCAGCAGAAATTACCACTGAATCATATGTTTCAGTCGTTACCTTTAAATACAAGTCTAATCACATGATAGATTATGGGAGGTATTTTATATTTTTAAATATAAACTTATGCAGTTATGGCCTCTATATGACTTTGTAAGAGAATGTCAGTGTCTCTTTCTTTGCTTAAATAGGTAAGTACCCCGATGATCGATAATAAGAGAAACACAGAGATAGATGTTTTTATGGCTACATGGATATCTCCAGTCATTGTATCATTTACTATTATAACAAAAATGAATACAAAAATGGATAAATCTGTCAAGATCTTGCAAAATCAAATTGTTTTTGGAAGGACATATTAACCAGTCTAATGGACTCCAAGGTGCAGGACTGAGCATAAACACAAAACCCAGCAACCTTTTCTATTTTTGGCCACCTGGCACCACATGTGGAATCTCAGTTTCCAAACCAGGGATTCAATGCACGCCCCCTGTAGTGGGAGCACTGGAAGTGCAGAGTTTTAACCACTGGACCACCAGGGAAGTCCCACCAGCATCTCTCTTAAATGAAGTTTTCCCTCAGTCTTCCCTGGAATTAGCTTTCCCCACATGCCCAAAGCAGTGGATCACTTATTATCGCCTTTTCACGGATGTCTCCATTCATCAGCTTTTGCTATAAACCTTGTTACCTGACCCTTCTCCCCACTTGAAGTATACATGTATGATGAAATCTTTTCACAACCTCCCCTTTTCCTCTTCTCATTCTCTTCATTCAAATATCTGTTTAAAGGCTGCACAGTATCAAAGACAATGAGATATAACAGAACAAATGCTTTCAGGAAATCCTTGTTCCTCTGAGGTTATACCACTCTTGCCTCTCCCCACCTATCACCAACTGATTAACTGGCACTAAGTTCAACTGTCCTCTGTACTCTAAGTCCTGTCATCATCTTGGTTGACTTCCACATCCAAGCAGATGACCAGTCTAGGTGAGAACTTAGTCCCAAAATTCTCTGACCTCCCCAACTCCAATGACCTCGACCTCTACTTATTTCCAATCACCAATTCCCACAGCCATAGACTGGAGGTGTACTGTTCTGGAAACCTTAAACTGAAACAGCCCACTCTTATGTGAAAAGATATGAACCCAGACATGCACCTTGATTAAGTCAAATTACCTGTGCTCTCAATGTACACTTTGACTTTCTTGGGAGAAACACTACTTTTGCAATAGGGGAAAAAAAGAGAAATTTTATCACTCTGATGATAATTTTTTATTCTTTCATCTCTGAACTCCTTATACCCAGAAAAATCTCTATTACACTGTATTGTAATTATTTGTTTACTTATCTATCATTTCCTTGATATTCCTAGATTGCAAATTCCTTGGGATCAAGTAACACCTTGGGACTCTTTCTAGGACAGTGAAGCTATCGTCAACAAACACAGGTATCTAATAGAATGAATAAATATTGAAACAGCACTGATCAATATGAGTAAGACTCTGATTCAGATTCTGTCACTTAATTATGGAATGACCTTAAGAAAGTCAGTCAAATTCTCTGAAATTCTTGTCCTAGCCACTTCATAGAGTTGTCAGGAGGCTTAAATAGTACATATGTTAGGTATAAGAGTTATCACTTTTTGTTCAGACTGAGTAAAACACATGATTTCCTTTTCTAGCACTGTTTTCCTTGGTTCACTGGAATCAAGTGGCTTTTTGTTTGTTTTGTTTTGTTTTTGCTACCTGACAAGAATAGTTTTATAACTGTTCTTCTTCTTCAGTTGCTAAGTCCTCTCCGACTCTTTGCAACCCCATGGACTGCATCATGCCAGGCTCCTCTGTCCTCCACTATCTCCCAGAATTTGCTCAGACTCAAGAAATGCAATAAGGCAAAGTGGTTTTCCGAGGAGGCCTTACAACTAGCTGAGAAAAGAAGAGAACTGAAATGCAAAGGAGAAAGAGAAAGATATACTCATCTGAATGCAGAGTTGCAAAGAATGGCAAGGAGAGATAAAAAGCCTTCTTATGTGAACAATGCAAAGAAATAGAGGAAAACAATAGAATGGGAAAGACTAGAGATCTCTTCAAGAAAATTACAGATACCAAGGGAACATTTCATGCAAATATGGGCACAAAAAAGGATAGAAACATCAAGGATCTAACAGAAGCAGAAGATATTAAGAAGAGGTGGCAAGAAAACACAGAAGAACGGTACAAAAAAGGTCTTAATGACCTGGACGACTACGATAGTGTGGTCATTCACCTGCAGTGTGAGATCAAGTAGGCCTTAGGAAGCATTACTACAAACAAAGCTAGTGGAGGTGATGGAATTCCAGCTGAGCTATTTCAAATCCTAAAAGATGACACTGTTAAAGTGCTGCACTCAATATGCTAGCAAGTTTGGAAAACTAAGCAGTGACCACTGGACTGAAAAGGTCAGTTTTCATTCCACTCCCAAAGAAGCACAATGCCAAAGAATGTTCAAGCGAAAGTGAAAGTGCAAGTCCCTGACTCTTTTCGACCCCATGGACTGTATAGTCCATGGAATTCTCCAGGCCAGAATACTGAAGCGGTAGCCTTTACCTTCTCCAGAGGATCGTCCCAACCCAGGGATTGAACCCAGGTCGCCCACATTGCAGGCGGATTCTTCACCAGCTGAGTCACAAGGGAAACCCAAGAATGTTTGAACTATGATACAATTGTGCTCATTTCACATGCTAGCAAGGCAATGTTCAAAATCCTTCAAGCTAGGCTTCAACAATACATGAACTGAGAACTTCTAGATGTACAAGCTGGATTTAGAAAAGGCAGAGGGATCAGAGATCAAATTGCCAACATCTGTTGGATCATGGAGAAAAGCAAGGGAATTCCAGAAAAACATCTACTTCTGCTCCACTGACTATGCTAAAGACTATGCTAAATCACAACAAACTGTGGAAAATTCTTAAAGAGATGGGAATACCAGACCACCTTATCTGTGTCCTGAGAAACCTGTATTTGGGTCAAGAAGCAATAGTTCAACCCAGACATGGAACAATGGACTGGTTCAAATTGGGAAAGGAGTACGTCAAGACTGTATATTGTCACCCTGCTTATTTAACATATATGCAGATGATATCACATGAAATGCGGGGCTGGATGAATCACAAACTGGAATCAAGATTGCCAGGAAAAATAGGAACACTCTCAGGTATGCAGATAACACCACCCTAATGGCAGAAAGTGAAAAGGAACTAAAGAGCCTCTTGATGAAAGTGAAAGAGGAGAGTGAAAAAGGTGGCTTAACACTCAACATTCAGAAAATTAAGATCATGGCTTCTGGCCCCATCACTTCATGGCAAATAGATGGGGAAACAATGGAAACAGTGATAGACTTTATTTTCTTGGGCTCCAAAATCACTGCAGATGGTGATTGCAGCCCTAAAATTAAAAGAAATTAAAAGCTCCTTGGAAGAAGAGCTATGACAAATCTATACAGTGTACTAAAAAGCAGAGATATCACTTTGCCAATAAAGGTCCATATAGGCAAAGCTATGGTTTTTCCAATAGTCATGTATGTATGTGAGAGTTGGACCATAAAAAAGGCTGAGCTGATGCTTTTGAACTGTGGTGCTAGAGAAGACTCTTGAAAGTCCCTTGGACAGCAAAGAGATCAAGCCAGTCAATCCTAAAGGAAATCAAGCCTGAATATGCACTGGAAGGACTGATGCTGAAGGTCCAATACTTTGGCCACCTGATGGGAAGAACTGACTCACTGAAAAAGACCCTGATGCTGGGAAAGACTGAAAGCAGGAGAAGAAGGGGATAACAGAGGATGAGATGGTTGGATGGCATCACTGACTCAATGGACATGAGTTTGAGCAAACTCCACGAGGTAGTGAAGGAAAGAGAAGTTTGGAATGCTGCAGTCCATGGGGCTGCAAAGAGTTGGACACAACTGAGGGACTGGACAACAACATGTCCACTGAGTCGGTGATGCTAGTCAATCATCTCATCCTCTGCTGCCCCCTTCTCCTTTGCCTCTGTTTGACTAACCTATTAACTGCTCCAAATTGTTTACGCATCATTCCCCTAAAGAAGATATGGCACAGCCAGGGATATCTATTGTCCTGATACCATGTTCATTTCCTTTTAGAAGAAGGGTATAATTGTTCCAACATGGAGAACAGCCTCCCAAGTGCTTTTTTGGGAGAGTGTTTAACATAGTCTATGTCTCCACCAGTTCAGAGAAAGGAAAGATTAGAGAATTGATAATGGGAATGGAGGACTCAATTGTCACTCTCACAAATCTGGGCTACAAATAAATCAATAAAAATCTTTAAACCAACCTAATAAAAATATTTAAATAGGATCTGCACTGGGCATCCATTTTTGCTTTCTTCTTCAGGAGATCCAAAATCAAATAATGGTTTCGAAATTTCAGTGGTTCTCAAATTCACCTGCACATTAGGAATTATCTGGGATTCTAAAAATATTCCAAAGCCGAGGCCACACCTCTCACAGACTGGATTGTATTCCCCAAATTCATCTGCTGCAGCCTCAGCCACTGTTTCGACTTATTTGGAGACAGGGCCTTAGGGCTTCCATAAGGTTACATGAGGTCCTAAGTGTGGCCCTCCAACCTGAGAGGACCGTCCATGTAAGAAGAGGAAGAGATGCCAGAAAGCTCTCTCTCCACATACGCACAGAGGAACGATCAGGTGAGCAGATGGTGACAAGATACCTTGAACTTGGACTTGCAACTTCATGAAGAAGCATGAGAAAATAAGTTTCTGTTGTTTAAGCCACCCAACATTTGGAATTTTTTTTTATGGCAGCCCAAGCAGACTAAACCAACACCCAAGACCAATTAAATCACAACCTCTTAGAGTAGAACACAAACATCACTATTTTCAAAGCTTCTAAGTGATTTAAAATCTGTTAGGGAAGGCTGGGGACCAATGCCTTATTTCAACTTTGTTCTATAAAGGACCTAAGCTTCTCTTTCCTGTTATTACATTTGTAGAAAAATAAGAATCAAAACACCATTAATTTATAGAACCATAGCAAAACTTGCCTCAAAAATCACCTGGAAGGATCTTAGCCCTGATGCATCCTGAGAATGGCTGGCCTCCTCTGAAGTCCAATTCAGGTTTGCAAAGAATCCAGGCAGTATGGATTGCATATCTGTGTGAGAAGAAATGGCAACAACAGAGAAGAAGCAGTTTGGATAAGCACCATAGTTTCTGCAGTTGTCCATTAAACTGATGAGTCAAGAAGGCTTTTCCCTGATGAAAAGATTATCTGCAGAATTTTAAATACAACTGGAAATGGCTATGAATCAGCAAACTGATTGAACATTTAGAATTACTTTATGGGGTTAAGATATTTAATCTCATGTTTTCAATTTTACACAAATTGAAAATTCACTAAATCAATTTGTATTTTCAATTCATTTCCACAAGGTCATATCCAATGCCAGAAATCTTCTGAGCTGCTAGTTCTAACTGATATTCTTATACTTTTTAATAAATCAATTCACTGTTTAATAATACAAATCCAGTAAGTGAGCTAACTTAGAACTTAAAGCAGAAAAATTCAAGAATGACCCTCTCAGGCATTGACCTAATACTGTATGGTCTGTCCTTTAAGAGACAGTCTTTAATAAAGAAAAGCAAACTTTTGCTAATTTAATTGTCAATTAACTACTTGGTATATTTATATACATCAATTTAGAACTCTTTACACAAAGCATCAGTGTGTCCTGGATCATATTCAACAAACAGAACTTCAAAGTATGCACTATCTTTCCTACTTTCTATACTCTGGCAGTAATATTATAAAGGGAAAAAAACCAAATTTCTAATTTTATAAAATGCCATTTCTTAGTCCCCCTCTACAATAGTGTTAAATGGAAAATTAAATATGAATAAAGATACATCAGTCTCTACAAGTTCTACCTTATAAACGATGCTGACAATGTTGATACTATATAAGAATTCAACTTTAAAATTTTAATAATAAAATATATCCTATAATAATGACACAACTTTTTTCTAAAGCATTCATACTATGTATCTAATAAAGCTTTAACCATCTCAGAAAGTATGAACTTTACCAAGATCAAGTTTTAGCTACCAATCTTAACAGGTACTATTTTTCTTGCCATTAGTTTGTTTTCCAAGCACAATTCAGTCACAAAGCCCAGGATAATATGGCAGCAAGGTTATGCTGCACTGAAGTTTAATGAAATTGGCACTAAATCAGGATGAGTTGCATCAGTACTCAGTTTTACCACTGACTGACTTTCTGACCTAGGGCAACGCCTTTTTTTCCCTGTGATTCAATTACCTTTCTGTGAAATAAGAAAAAATTGTTCCTGAATCCTATAAAGTAGTAATACAATACAGAACGGGGAAAACAAATGTAGATACATGAGAAGAAGTTTTGTCAATAAATTGGAATTCTCTAGAAATCTTAAGAATTTCCTTAAAGGATGAGTAGTTATTTGGGCGGAAATCAATTTTAATTAGTCAAACCAGTCAATCCTCAAGGATATCAGTCCTGAATTTTCATGGCTGCAGTCACCATCTGCAGTGATTTTGGAGCCCAAGAAAATAAAATCTGTCACTGTTTTCATTATTTCCCCATCTATTTGCCATGAAGAGATGGGACTGGATGCCATGATCTTAGTTTTCTGAATGCTGAGTTTTAAGCCAGCCTTTCACTCTTCTCTTTCACCTTCATCAAGAGGCTCTTTAGTTCCTCTTCACTTTCTGCCATTAGGGTGGTGTCATCTGCATATCTGAGGTTACTGATATTTCTCCTGGCAATCTTGATTCCAGCTTGTGATTCATTCAGCCTGGCATTTCACATGATGTACTCTGCATATAAGTTAAATAAGCAGGGTGACAATATACAGCCTTGACATACTCTTCCCAATTTGAACCAGCCTGTTGTTCCATGCCCAGTTCTAACTGTTGCTTCTTGACCCAAATACAGGTTTCTCAGGAGACAGGTAAGGTGGTCTGGTATTCTCATCACTTCAAGAATTTTCTACAGTTTGTTGTGGTCCACACAGTCAAAGGCTTTAGCATAGTTAATGAAGCAGATGTTTTTCTGGAATTCCCTTGCTTTTTCTATGATCCAATGGATATTGGCAATTTCATCTCTGGTTCCTCTGCTTTTTCTAAATCCAGATTGAACATCTGAAAGTTCTCAGTTCACGTACTGTTGAAGCCTGGTTTGGAAAATTTTGAGCATTACTTTGTTAGCATGTGAAATATGCACAATTGTACGGTAGTTTGAAAATTCTTTGGCATTGTCCTTCTTTGGAAGTGGAATGAAAACACCTTTTTCAGTCCCATGGCCACTGCTGAGTTTTCCAAACTTGCTGGTATATTGAGGGCAGCACTTTAAAAGCATCATCTTTTAGGATTTGAAATAGCTGAGCAGGAATTCCATCACCTCCACTAGCTTTGTTTGTAGTAATGCTTCCTAAGGCCCACTTGACTTCACGCTCCAAGATGTCTGGCTCTAGGTGAGTGATCACATCATTGTGGTTATCCAAGTCATTAACATCTTTTCTGTATAGTTCTTTGTATCCTTGCCACCTCTTTTTAATCTCTTCTGTTTCTACTAGGTCCATACCATTTCTGTTCTTAATTGTGCTCATCTTTGCAAGAAATGTTCCCTTGGTATCTTTAATTTTCTTGAAGAGATCTCTAGTCTTTCCTCTATTTCTCTGCATTGTTCAGTTAGGAAGGCTTTCTTATCTCTCCTTGCTATTGTTTGGAATGCTGCATTCAGATGGGTATATCTTTTCTTTTCTCTTTTGCCTTTAGTTTCTCTTCTTTTCTCAGCTATCTGTAAGACCTCCTCAGACAACCATTTTGCCTTGTTACATTTCTTTTTCGTGGGGATGGTTTGATCATTGCCTCTTGTGTAAAGTTACAAACCTCCATACACAGTTCTTCAAGCACTCTGCCTATCAGATCTAATCCCTTGAATCTATTTGTCACTTCCACTATATAATCATAAGGGATTTGATTTAGGTCATACCTGAATGGCCTAGTGGTTTTCAGTACTTTCTTCAATTTATGTCTGAATTTTGCGATAAGGAATTCATGATCTGAGCCACAGTCAGCTCCCGGTCTTGTTTTTGCTGACCATATAGAGCTTCTCCATCTTTGGCTACAAAGAATAGAATCAATCTGGTTTTGATACTGACCATCTGGTGATGTCCATATGTAGAGTCGTCTCTTAGGTTGTTGGAAGAGGGTGTTTGCTATGACCAGTGTATCCTCTTCGCAAAACTGTTAGCCTTTGCCCTGCTTCATTTTGTATTCCAAGGTATACATTTGTATTTCATTTTGTACTCCATTTTGTATTCTTCCCTGATCTTCAGAAATGAAAAAGAGAGAGTCCACAGGGGTAAGTAAGGACAAGAGATGTCCCATGTTTGGGGCATGGACTGGAAAAAAAACATGGGGCCAATATTGCAACACCAACAGGTTTAAAACCAAGAGCCACAGAGGCCACAGACAGAACAAAACATGAACAAAAGCCAAAGATTTGGTACCTGTCTACCTGAGGGTTGGTTACAAGTCAAGTGATGCTAGCAGCAGCATTAGTGATGCAGGATAAGGGCCTTAGAGCTATGGAATGTAAATGCAGATGAGACTCAGAACAGTAATATTCTATTAAGATACAGAGTGTTTTTATCTTGCCACTTAAGCAAAGTTTTAGTCCAAGATATAGGCCCTGCCGTTAAGGGCTCAGCAATCCAGAGAACCTCCTACTGGAAGGCTGCAGTGCAGGATGTGTTCAGGACAAAGGGATCATGTACAATCAGCTCTTAACTAAAAATTACCAACCAACAAAGACCAATAACATGAAAAATATGACACATATCAACCAACAGAGTGCATACCAGAGGAAACAGAATTAATAAAACAACCTGAAAGGAACTTTAAAATAAGTGCTGTAGGACTTGCCTGGTGGTATAGTGGATAGGAATTGGTCTGCCATTGCAGGGGACATAGGTTTGATCCCTTGTCCAGGAAGATTCCACTTCCATGAGCAAGTAAGCCCATGAGCCACAACAACTGAGTCCTTTGAGTCCACGACTTTTTGTTAAAAGTAGCCCTCACGTGGGATGATTTGAGAAAATAGCATTGAAACATGTATATTATCATATGTGAAATAGAGTGCCAGTCCAGGTTCAATGCATGAGATAGGGTAGGGTGCTCAGGGCTGGTGCACTGGGAATGACCCTGAGGGATGGGATGGGCAGGGAGGTGGGAGGGGGATTCAGGATGGGGAACACATGTAAACCCATGGCTGATTCATGTGAATGTATGGCAAAAACCACCACAATATTGTAAAGTAATTAGCCTCCAATTAAAATTAAAAAAAAAAGTAGCACTCACTCACTACAATTAGAGAAAGTCCAGGAGCAGCAACAAAGACCCAGCATGCTAAAAATAAATATATTTTTTTAAATAGCTGCTCTATATTTTATATCCTCAAATATAAAAAGAAGTCATGAAATAAGAATACACTGCCATTGATTAAACAGAAAGCAATGGCAAAAAACTCTATTAGAAATCTTGGAAATTAAAGATAGTGTTTGAAATGAAAGCCCTATGGATGGCAGATACTCTAAAAGAACATATTTAAAAGGTAGTAAGTGAAACTTCATAGAAGCATGACTCATAATAGGAAAAAGTGGAAACAACCCAAATGTCCAACAAATGATGAAGAGGTTAACAAAACATGGAATATTATTCAGCAATAGGAAGAAATGAAGTACTGTTACATGCTACATACTAACATGAATGAATCTTGAAAACATTATGCTTCATTAAGCCAAACACAAAAGGCCGCATATCATATTATTTTGTTTATATGAAATATCTAGAATAGGCAAATCCATAAAGACAGAAAGTAAACTAGTATTTGCCAAAGGACAGGGGGTAGGGATAAAAGGAATGACTGCTAATGGGTACAGGATTTCTTTTGGGGATGATGAAAATGTATTGTTATGAATAGCAATGATAGTTGTACAACTTTGTGAATATACTTAAAACCTCTGAATTGTACACTTTAAAATGGTATATTTTATGACATGGGAATTATATATCAATTAAAAGAAGAAAAAGAGAAAAGACAATAATAGATTTTTA